TGTTCAAGCGGATCCATGTACCTCCATGAGATCAGTTCCTGTACGCTCCATTCTGTTTGGGGTATTCACAGACAAACCGTATCAGTGTAAGGACTGTTGGTCCCTATGGAAGTACATGAACTTTACAGGTGAAGGAGCCAAGTGCTGCATCAGTCTTTAAATGTCCCCCTGTGAACGGCACGCGCATTCTCCGGAAAATCTATGATTGCTGTTACTTGTGGCAATGTGTGTTCTGCTATCCCACAGGGAGCACAGCGTAACCGAACAGAGCTGACTCTGGATAAAAAATGCTATAAAAAGGGTGTGAAGACGTGCATCAAAGGCCTGCTACACAGCGTTACAGCACAGCAGAACAACACCCCGGCTGGGTGGACCTTAATGGAATCTGCTTCTGCTTTCTACATTTTTAATTATGGCATTGGCCTACAGAAAGTCTTTGGTCAAAACTGAAAATTAAAAAAAACCAGTATAGCAAGAAATCTAGTGCTGCCATCACTGCCCACCCTCTGAAAATGCTAGTTGCCTGGCTTTAGTGCTTTGTGTCAAATATATGCAGTAGGTTGGGTCAGAAAATATACAAGCTCCAGCACTTCTTACCTAATCTGTGGCAGTATTTTAAAAGTAATAAAACCAATGGATCAGAATAGCCAGGAAGTGTTTTTTTTTTTTTTGTTTTTTGTTTTTTCTTCAAGCCTATATACAATATATGTCAGAGGTTTATTTAAAGCTTTTAAATCATGACAACCCTGCCAGGCCAAAGCCCTAACCATTTACTTTCTTCATTGCAGTCATAGCAATACAGTATGGTCAAGGACAAGCTTGGATAGGGATGATACTGCACCATACTGCTAAGGTCATCTCTGTGCTCTCTACTCCAGTCAGCAAGCTCCATGTGTTTATATTTAAATCAATGTTGGATATTATTATATAGGATTTATTTATATAGCGCCAACAGTTTGCGCAGCGCTTTACAATATAAGGGAGACAGTACAATTACAATACATTTCAGTACAGAAGGAATGTGAGGGCCCTGCCCGTGGAGCTTACAATCTAAAGGATATAGTAGTAATAGCGGATAGGCTCGCAGAGCCCCTCCTTCAAATCCCAGTCTGAATGCTGGTGTGCAGAGGAGTACAGGAGGTTAGTACCAAGACATATTAAAGTGATACTAAACACACACTGTTTAATTTTACATTATCCCTTCTATTTCTGTGTATGGATGATGGCACTGTAATTATTTTAATAAAAAAAAAATCTAAGTACCTTTTTCCTAATTGATATACAGCTGTCACATGACCCAGCTCTTTCCCAGCCTGTCTGCAAGGAAACGGTGACAGGAAGAGCTTCTACTCCTCTGCTGCTGGTCGTATGTTCAAAATAAAAAAACAGCCTTGTAATACAGAGTAAAAATAAATATCAAACGGTTTTAAATTGTCATACAAATATATATCTGCAATCAAATCTTTATTATTTTGTGGAAATAACATGGTGTGGGCGGATTTCTTCCAGTCGCAGGCTGTGTCACGCCCCTCCAGCCTGTGTCTTAGAATAACGGGGAGGTGAAGCCTCCATCAATCAAGATGTAATATTCCCCCCCCCCCCCAATTGTGGTTCGTTGGTTAGTGGGCATGGAGTAAAAGGGAAAGTGTGGGCTATCATTTATTACTGTGTATACTTCCACGTGTGACTCTATAGTCACATGGACTGCTCCTATGTGATAGGGAGGAAATGCTCAGCATAGAAACTCACTGAAAACTGAGCATGTGCAGAGTTGCCACTACAGCTGCAAAATTCCTAGCTGAATTGGGGACACAAACAGAAGGTAGAGAGAGAGAAGATGGATCCAGTTTTCTTGCAGAATACAGAAAACACATCTCATAGTGACTGAACAGCATTTATTGGTAGTTTTTGTATGATGTGGATTTAGTGACACTTTCTGACAACCTTTTGTACCATATTACACCCCTATTCAGGGGTGTCTCAGTTACAGAGCTGAGACAAACCATTTACCACTGGCAGGGGTGCTTACAATGAACAGATTTGTTTATGTAAAATGTTTACAAAAGAAAAAAGCTGTTTGCTGTAAGAGATTATAAAGTGTAAGCTGGAGTTTGGCTTCAATCTGTTAGTTTTTTTTTTTTTTTTTATGCGGCCCCCACAACCTCCCCACAAAAAAGTTAAGTCAGCAGCTACAAATACTGTGGCTGCTGACTTTTAATAGTAGGGCACTTACCTGTCTGAATAATCGTTTGGGGGTAAGGACGCCACTGGATGCACAATCAGCTGTTGTGTGCTGGTGCTGCCATCTTGACTAAAGGGAAACCTACTGTGGATGTGTGAAGTGGGCTGCGCTTTGTAAATGGGCTGCAGTCCTCTGGGGCCTTGGAAGTGTTCCAGAGGGTTGCAGGGGGTGCTGAACCAGGTGGAGGTACCTGCTCCTTCCCAAAAGGTGCCAAATGTGGCAGTGGAGGGGGGAGAGGAGGCACAAAAGTGGAGCTCCCACTTTTGGGTGGAACTCCGCTTTAAATCTGCTAGCTCATCAAACACATCCACCCCCCCCCCCCCCACCAGACTGAAAATGCTGCTGTCCAGAGGTTCCCCCGTGCTCCAAAGTGGGGGCGCTCTAATCCAAGAGGTGTGTTACTGGCCAGAACACCAGGTGAAAGCGAAGGGGGGGGGGGAAGCCTACAATTTGAAAACTAATGCAGCCACCACATCTAATGATTGGTAAGCTGCAGTATATATTACATTTTTGGGGGGGGGGGGGGGTTTAATACCGGTTTAACATTTGTAATGCATTTCTTTTTCATTTGTCCATTGAGACCTTTTATTTTCTATCACCTTTGTTGTATCAGTGCCCCCTTTTAATCCGATTAGGGTTCTGCCTTCGTCGCTCCAACATTCCTGCAAGCTCCGGTGCCTCACTATAGGCAAAAGTAGAATCCTTCTAAATGCAATCGAGCTTTCATGAAAGGCCAATTTGGCTGATCTTGTTAAAAATTATCTGGCATTCTGGGAAGTGACTTTCAAGATTAGCACACAGCGAATTGCTTTTTATGTGCCTGCAAATAACATTTATGTTTCGAGTGATGCCCTTAAAACCATGTAATTTATTGCAGGACCTAATTGCTGGAGTTTGGAAGCGGCTTGGATTGGAAGGAATAAATTAAAAGGCCAGGAAATGTTATGAACAGCTGTCCAGAAATGTTAGGAAGAGATTTTTATCTCCAATAAACAGTCCTCTGTAGACATTATTACATTGTTCTGCTGGAGGAGAAATGTCACCCAAATGTGATCTAAGGCCGCCCGTAGTTGTGCAGATGTCTCAGCGGAAACGACGGATAGTAAGACATCTGTACATCCTCCGAAACCACCAGGACTGGCTGCACTGTAATCTGCAACTTCACTGACCAGTGATGGAGGTCTGTGTGCAGCTAAAGCTGAATCCTAAGCAGATTTTAAAAATTAAAGCGTCATTAAACCCAAAAGCAAACCTTTTACTATATTGCAGCTTACCAGTTCTTAGATGTGATGGGTGCATTAGTTTTCTTCTTTTACACTGGGTTCACATATGTGCGGTGTTGTATACCGCACGTGATTCGCACAGGAACCGCACCGCATTCCTGTGCAAATGCGATTTGTGTGCGGTGCGATTGGAGCCATACATTTTTATGGCTTTATTCGCACTGCACCAAAAACCTGCAGGACCCTTTTTTAGGTCCTCACTGGAATCCGATTCACCTATGTGATCCGATTCTGCACATCGCACCGTATTTTGCAGACCGCTTTTGGGATGTTGGTAACGTAACATACATACCTGCAGCGGTGCGATTGTGATGCGGTGTGGAATTCGCACTGAAAATGCTGCAAATTCCGCTCCGCATCAGTGTGAATCAGTGCTTAGGCTTTCCTCTATTTACCTCTAGTAATCCAGCCAGTAAGTCTGTTATTTTTCAAAAGAACAAGTTCTCTTGCTGTTCTGAAACAAACCATTTACCACTGACAGGGGTGCTTACAATGGTCAACTTTTTTATTTGATACACCTTTATCCCATGCTGTCACTGATTAGTTAGCTAAAGTTTGGCTTTAATACGGAGCTCCAGTCCCCATAATCAATTTTTTTTTTTTTTTAAATTCCCTTACTTGTACATTTAAATTAGAATACTGTTAGAACAGTATTAAAATGCATGCAAAGCGTTTTCCCGATACTCAAATGGACCCGGTACACCATGGATGTGGGCATCTGAAGCCCACTTGTCTTCTTCCGGGATTCAGTGCAGCTGGCTACCCAGCATGCACCTCCCGATCTCAAGCCTGCGTAGTAATGACACTGTGCGGTGCATTGTGTTTAGTGTAGGTTGCTGTAGCAATGGTGGCATCACAGAAGTACCCACCCTGTTGCTATGGCAACCTGTCAATCACATTACATTATTAGGCTTCCCAAAGACTCCTGGGATAGATGACGACGATTTCCCAGGAGTCAATGGGAATCGCCTAATGACGTCATCGCCTAGGAGGCCGGGACAGGAAGTGCCGCCCAAAGAATTATAATAAAGGAATTTAGAAACAAACAAAAAAATCATTTCCATTTTGCACTGTACATTGGACGGCATTGGAAATATTGGAAGTTTAAAGTGGAGTTCCAGTCTTTTTTTAATCTGTTAGATGTACTAACAGATTTAGATACACTAACACTCCCCTCCCCCAGACTGACAATGCTGCTGTCTAGAGGTGCCCTCTGTGCTCCTTCATCCAGAGTGGGGGCGCTCTAATACAGGAGGTGTCTCACTGGCCATATCACCAGGTGAAAACAGAGGAGGAAAAGCCTAAAAAAAGAAAACTAATGCAGCCACCACATCTGATTAGTAAGCTGTTTGTAGTTATTTAACCACCTCCCGCCCGCCATATAGTAATATGACGGGCGCAAGGCGGTTCTCTCGTTCTGTGAGGATGTCACATGACGTCCTCCCATTCTCACTGTGCATGCGCGGCTCAGGGAGTGCGCAGCGATCAGCGGTGCGCTATGTCCCTCGTACACAGCGGATCACGGAAAGAGCCGAAGATGTTGGCTTGGTCATGTGATCAGCTGTGTCCAATCACAGATGATCACATGTAAACAGGGAAATGCCGGTTATCGGCATTTCTCTCCTCACGCTGACAGCTCAAGAGGAGAGGAGAGCCGGTAATTGGCTTTCCATGGAGGGGAAATGTACACTGATTATCAGGACACTGATGATCAGTGTAGCCCCAGCAGTGCCACCTGTCAGTCTCCATCAATGCCCTTGTCAGTGCTCATCAGTGCCTCGTGCCAGTGCCACATCAATGCCACATATCAGTGCCTACCAGTGCCACATCAATGCCACATATCAGTGCCTACCAGTGCCACATCAATGCCACATATCAGTGCCCATCTAAGCTGCCTTTCAGTGTCACTCATCATTGGCAGTCAGTGCTGCCTTTCAGTGCCACCTACCAGTGCCTCCTCATCAGTGCCACCTATCAGTGTCCATCAGTGCAGCCTATCAGGGCCGATCACTGCAGCCTCATTAGCGCACATCAGTGAAGGAGAAAAACTCACTTATTTACAAAATTTTATAACAAAAACTAAGAAAAAAAAACGTTTTTTTGTTCAAAATTTTCAGTGGTTTTTGGTTTAAGAAAAAAAACAAAACCCAGAGGTGATTAAAAACCACCACCAAAATAAAGCTCTATCTGTCTCAAAAAAATGATAAAAATTTCATATGGGTACAGTGTTGCATGACCATGCAATTGTCACTCAAAGTGCGACAGTGCTGGAGGCTGGAAATTGGCCTGGGCAGGAAGGGGTATAAGTGCCCTGTAGGCTTGTGGTTAATTTTGCTTTGTTTAGTGCAAGTACCCAAATCTGTCTTTAGATCAATCTCTGTCATTCCCTGTACAGGAGAGGAAAGTTCTGCTGTAGTACACATGAGCTGACAGATGAGCATGCTGACAGAAGGAGGGTGCAGAGTGATGGCTTATCAGTTGCCTGATGCTCCTTCATTGTCCAATAAGAAGCCTGAGGGTGTGCTCTTTACTAGGTTGTGCTGCTGCAGCAGAGCTTGAGGATCTGGTTGGCAGGTGTATCCTGATCACTAAATTGGAAGCACAAGACTACAAACCCTATGAAGGGTAAACTAGCTTCCATATATGTATTTCCATTGTGTATTTCACTACCTGCCTTAGTAATTTTAAAAGATAACTGGCCCACCTCCGAGAGGCTGCATATACGCATACCGCCGGTGCAAAGAGGTAATGTAATGAATTGCAACTCATCAATTCTTAGATGTGGTAGCTACATTAGTTTTCTTTTTAGGCTTTCTTCTATTTTTACCTGGTAATCTGGCCAGTAAATCTTGTTTTTCAAAAGAACAAGCTCTCTTGCAGATGTTTTAGATTTTTTTTCCTTTATTTTCACCTAATGATCCAGCCAGTGAGTCTGTTATTCAGTTTCCTTTAACAGACCAAGCTGTTCTAACTCTTTCCCAAGCTCCCCTTTAAATGGTCACATGTAGTATACTTTTTATTTGCCTTTAAAGAGAACTTGGAAAAGTATTACTTCCACTTTTGTTATGAATTACCCTGATTTTTGGATCTTTTGAGGTGCTTTTCAATAGCATAGTGGATGCTCATAGCCCCTAGATGCCTGTCTACCACCAGCTGACCAAATGTACTGGCTTCATTGTTACTTAGTAGCTGCTGGTAGATTGTTACTCCATGTGGAGAGTCCTGTGCTGGTTCTAATTTAGATCTTTGAAGTTACTGTTGTCAGTCCATCCAAGTTTAACTCATGTTGAGCCCTGATGAAGGGGGAGTGGTGTACTCTCATAATGCATTGGCTGTATTTAAATGACTTCATTTTTATTGTTGATTAAAAAAAAAATCTTGGACTCTTTCATTCGGTTTTTGTGTGGCGCACCTTTCTGTATTCCTGTGTTGGGTTCCCATTGAGGAAAGTCTTGCCCCGGGGATCCGACTCGCCTGAGCCATTGAGATTGTTTGATGTTTTCATTCATCTGACCACACAAGCAAGTCCAAAAGTACCTTTTTGAGTAGGTTGCTCTGAAGGTATGTTATATGGCTGACCGTTTGTGACCATCGCGCTACATGAGTTTTTTGGACTTCTCATTCTGAAACCATAGTCATTAATATGGAGTTGCCTCCAGCCTCCAGCTATAACAGTCTCCACTCTTCTGGGAAGGCTTACCAAGTTTTCAGGGATGCCACTTTTGTGTCTGGGAAAATCTATGCCTATTCAGCCAAGGAGCATTGTTGAGGTCAAGAACTAATGTTGGATGAGATGACCGCTTGTAGTCAGCAACCATAGTCATTAATATGGAGTTGCCTCCTTTTTGCAGCTTCAACCGTCTCCACTCTTCTGGAAAGGCTTACCAAGATTTTGGGGATGCCACTTTTGAGTCCGGGAAAATCTATGCCTATTCAGCCAAGGAGCATTGGTGAGGTCAAGAACTAATGTTGGATGAGATGACCAACCATAGTCATTAATATGGACTTGCCTCCTTTTTGCAGCTTCAACAGTCTCCACTCTTCTGGAAAGGCTTACCAAGATTTTGGGGATGCCACTTTTGTGTCTGGGAAAATCTATGCCTATTCAGCCAAGGAGCATTGGTGAGGTCAAGAACTAATGTTTGATGAGATGACCTGGCTTGTAGTCAGCAACCATAGTCATTAATATGGAGTTGCCTCCTTTTTGCAGATATAACAGTCTCCACTCTTCTGGGAAGGCTTACCAAGTTTTCAGGGATGCCACTTTTGTGTCTGGAAAAATCTATGCCTATTCAGCCAAGGAGCATTGGTGAGGTCAAGAACTAATGTTGGATGATATGACCTGACTCGCAGTTGGCGTTCTATTTCATCCCAAAGGTGTTCAATAAGGTTGGGGCTCTTCCCACCAAACTGGCCAACCTTAACTTTATGGAGATGGCTTTGTACACAGGAGGCATAGCTGTACTGAATCAAAAAAAGGACCTTACCCAAACCATCACCACAAGTTTGAAGCACACAATTGTCTCAAATGAAACACCTGAACTCAATCATCTAGAGTGGTGTCCACAAAACCTTTGGCCATATATTGTAGCACTGAGGACTGCATATGGTCTTTTTGATGTTGTATTTGTGGTTAAATCCCCTTATCGTTGTCCGATACTGTACAATAAGTTATAATGGGTAAATGGAGTGTTTGAACTGTACTAGCTTGGTTTATGAACTCCTTCCCCCTCCTTCAAGAAGAGTTTATTTTGTTTGAAGATCTGTTTGCAAAAAATCCATCCAAAGTATGCTCAAAAGCTGCATATAATCTCCTGAAGGCATCATTACCTGCACGAGAAGGCCTGTCATTATGTGGCACGAGTATCTGTTCATGCAAGGAAGCTCCGCATCGGATTCATGGCAGAGGGGACTGATGTCATCGCTTTCGGGAGTACATATGGTTATTAGGTGTGATATTTAGGATGTGCAGCTATAGGGTAAACTATTCATGGGTGAAATTTGTTTGGCTCGGCACTCGGGGCTCCATGTCTGTTAGGTAAATGTATCTTTGGTTTCATCAGGAACAGTTCTTGTGATGAGAACAGGCCAGCTTTTAAATCTATATGAACTGAAGTGTGCTGTAACCATGGCAACCAGCCAGGATATTGGCTCTCGTAGTGTGCCTCCGTACAAGCTACCTGTTGTCTGTAGAAATCTGAAGTGTTCATTGAGAACAATATTTCATTAAGCCATAAAATTCATGTTTATTACAGATTCTGCAAACCTTAAAGTAGATGCAATCCCAATCATTTTACCTTTTCTAGAAAATAGCCTATGCAGTTAAGGGGCCCCAATTGTCCTATGGGTATCAACACTACCTATACAGTATACACATAAATCATGTGTTAGCATCCATATAGTACATGTCTCACACAAGTGTCCAAAAGATATGCAGCTATGTGCTAATGAATAAAAAAGTGACCGTCCCACTTCAAAAACACGCAGTGCTCCAACCGCATAGACCAGCAATGGGCAAACTACGGCCCGCGGGACCTTTTAATCCGGCCCGCGGAGCTAGGCTCCTCTCACAGTCCGCTCTGAAGACCAGTGTAGCATGAAAATCTGTCTCCTATGAGGATCTGTCCCCTTCGATGTATCTGCGCATGTGCCGGAGATCGCCGATCGGCTGCTAATGCCTGAAACTGGCACATGCGCAGATACGTCGAGGGGGACAGATCCTCATAGGAGACAGATTTTCATGCTACACCGGAACGGCGCGGGAATACGGCGAGAGGAACGCGCGGAGCAAAGGTAAGTGAATTGACACAGGGGGGACTTGGGGACTTAATATGGGGGATGAATTACTATATGGGGGATGAATTACTATATGGGGGATGAATTACTATATGGGGGATGAATTACTATATGGGGGATGAATTACTATGTGGGGGATGAATTACTATGGGGGATGAATTACTATGGGGGATGAATTACTATGGGGGATTACTATATGGGGATTAATTATATGGGGGATGGATTACTATATTGGGGATTAATTACTATGCTTACTATGGGGGAATATTACTATACTTACTATGGATGACACATACACATCATTCATCTACTCTTGGTCCGGCCCCCGGGTCCAATATATGAACCCATTGCGGCCCTCAAGTCAAAAAGTTTGCCCATCCCTGGCATAGACAGATGTAGGATGTGCTGTACAGACAAGAGTGATCTTCCAAAGGACCCGGCTATACAGATAGCACACTCATTGGAGGGTTTTGACTACTTGTGTGAGCAAGAGAGTCTCAACCAGCATGCGTTGTATCCTAGGCGTTGTGGCTTCCGTTGTAACGGAACCAACCCCAGACTGCACTTGGGTACTTCCTTTTAGAATACCTTTTCCCCGTCCGAACACCGACAACAGACACCACAGCTGACCATACAAGACTGGACAACACCAAACTTGAAGTAATCCAGAAGGTAGACCAGTTTATTTGAACACAGATACAAGATGTATACACTCAGGGGGCAATCCCCCCTTCCTGCATAATGACACAGGGCAGGGCAATCTACATTTATTAACAAGAGACACAGGTATTCAAACTTCACACCAGCAGACAGTCCCATCAGGAGGGAGGGCTGCTGGAGACAGCCCTCCCCCCAAGCTAATACACACAAACATATACATCCCATAATAGTTTGCTCCCAAGCAAGACAATGGAATGCAGCCACACAACACCAAACAATCCACAACCCCCACCCCACCTATCTCCTAAACATGTCTAAACAACATTAGGACAGATCACCCTGTACCCCTAACAGGCACAGGGTGACTTACACATAATAGGGATATGGGGAGCTGAGACAGGGGTCTCCCCACCTCTCCAAAGTGAGCTGGGTTCCATGGGCCCCCCACCCAAAGGGACTCCCGTGACATTTGTGTACTCCAAATGGCTCTCCCCTCTGCACCAGTCAGAAATATTTGCCCTGAC